TGTTGCAGCCGTGTGCGTGTGTGCGTGTGTGCGTGTGTGCGCGTGTGCGCGTGTGCGCGTGTGCGCGTGTGCGCGTGTGCGCGTGTGCGCGTGTGCGCGTGTGCGCGTGTGCGCGTCTGCGCGTGTGCGCGTGTGCGCGTGTGCGCGTGTGCGCGTGTGCGCGTGTGCGCGTGTGCGCGTGTGTGCGTGTGTGCGTGTGTGCGTGTGTGCGTGTGTGCGTGTATGCGTGCGTGCGTGCGTGCGTGTGTGCGTGTGTGCGTGTGTGCGTCTGTGCGCGTGTGTGCGTGTGTGCGTGTGTGTGTGTGTGTGTGCGTGTGTGCGTGTGTGCGTGTGTGCGTGTGTGCGTGTGCGTGTGTGCGTGTATCTGTGTGTCTGTGTGTCTGTGTGTCTGTGTGTCTGTGTGTCTGTGTGCCTGTGTGTTTGTGTGTCTGTGTGTCTGTGTGTCTGTGTGTCTGCGTGTCTCTGTGTCTCTGTGTCTCTGTGTCTCTGTGTCTGTGTCTGTGTCTGTGTCTCTCTCTGTCTGTCTGTCTATGTGTGTGTTGGTTCCCCTGGGCCACTTTGGCAGGTGTGAGGGGGCCTTCGTTGGCCAGAACGGTCCTCGATCGCCACTGGACTGGGGCGTTGGGGGCCCAAGGGTTCGGCTGGCCAGCGCACCCGCAAGCAGGCACGTCGAAGCAGAAGGCAGCCTGCGAAGCAGGCGCCCCGCGGAGCCCCGCTGAGCTCTGGGGATAACGCTGGGAGCTCCTGGGCACGCCACCGAGTCTCAGGTCGACGGAGAGGCTGCGCCTCCAGCCCTTGTGGCACGATTCTCATCACACGTGCCCACCGCATCGTTGTCCCGCTTCCCGCTGGAGCTTCAACACCCCAGGAGGGAGGGCGAGCTCGTTCGCCCTTCCCCCCTCCCGCTCGGGGCACGCGGAGTGGCGCAGGCCCGTGGCATAGTGTAAATAACTATTGTTCGTGTGGTCGGCCGCCATCCATCCACGTGGCAAGCCAGAGTCTTGGGCCAGAAAGTGGCTGGAGGAGGCCCCATGCTAAGGAGAACAGTTACCGTGTTGGGAGGAAGGGGTTGGGAGGATGCAGGGCATGAGCAGTGGCATCCGGATGCAATGCACGATAGCTTCGGCCACCTACGGGTAAGGATACCCCCCGTTCCTCCCAGCCTCATCCTCCCAACCCGACGGTTGTCTTCATGACACAGCCTTCCCGCATTGCGGACACAACAAAACGGGACGGACGACGGCTCGGGCAGCGCGGCGCCTGGGGGCCGCTTCCCGACCCCCGGGCACGTCAGACCGCCACCCCGCGCCCCGTCCACGGTTGCGCGGGGGACCGGCGCGGCGGGGCCATCCGCCTACAGTTCGGGTGGGGTCCTGCCTGCAGTCCGGGGGAAGCACCTGTAATCCGGAGAGGGGCCTGTGGCTGAGGGAGCTGTATGTCTTAGGAGAAGAAAAGATGGCATACACATAAACCTTCAGCGCTCCGCGCGGATTTCTTGGATCTGCGCTGGGCCCGCCTCCCTGGCGCGCAGAGCGCGCCAGGGGCGTCGCCCGAGGCGCCGCCGGGGGGCCCAGCGCGGATCCAAGAAATCCGCGCGGAGCGCCGAAAGTTTGCGTTTATGGCGGTGTGTCTTCTCCGATACCTGCTCCCGATCTGCTCAGGGACAGGCTGACAGACCATCGGTGGCGAGGAACGGGACCAGGGGACTGCGGGCGCAGGGGCCCACGTCGCGACACAAAAAACCCTTTTGAAAAGTGCTCCTCATTCAAGCCGCTCACTGTAATAGGAGCTTGGATTGCTTCAGCCAGCGGCCCCGAAGGCCCCGACCCCTTCCCTGGGGGTTAGCCTTGGGTTCCAGATACACACCTGCGGGGCCCGACCGCGGGCCCCTGGTGGCCGAGATGCAGGAAAAAAAAAACGCCCGGACTAAAGGCACAGCTCGGCGGAGCTCTGGGTGTTGTTGGCCCGTGGAGCCTGTCGATCTCTGACAGCACCGCTAACCAAAGACTGCACGCGGAAGCGTCGGCGTCGAGCTTGGGCATCGCCCACCTCGGTCGTCGTCAGTTCGTGGACCCTCCCCGCGAGTCGGAGATGGCTGGCATGCACAACGACCAAGATCGGCGTGGACACAAAGAGGAAGCGACACCGCGACTCACTCCACAGGCCTCGCCCGGGGCGTACTCCGACCAAGATCTCGAGGCGAGTCCAGCCGTGGCGACGAGGGAAGGGTGGCAGCATCGGCACCTGCCCCTCCCCTGGGATGCAGGTTTTCAGGATGCTCCTCCTCCTCCTCCTCCCCCTCCTCCTCCTCCTCCTCCTCCTCCTCCTCCTCCTCCTCCCGCATCTTCCCCTCCGTGGAGCCTGTCGATCTCCGACAGCACCGCCCTCAGCACCCCGAGGTGCCTGGCGGCACGGAGGCCGCCCCCCACCGCGCCGTGCACCCCGCAGGCGCCCGGGCCGCTCTTCAGCCCCAGGGCGGCCTGCCAGGCGCCTGCGACGACGGCGGCGGCCTCCTCGGCGTGGGCAGCGCAGCGGCGGCCATAGCGCAGGCAGGCCCGGGCTGCATCGCATCGGATCGGACACGGATGGGCTCGCCAGCGAATCGCCCCGAAGCGAATCGAAACCGGATCGCGGCGCCCGGATCCAGCTGGCTCCGGCCAGTACCAGCGAATCGGGCCAGATCGAATCGGATCGGGATCGTCGGCCCAGCCCGCGAACCGAATCGCAGCGCATCGGATCGCAGTCACCCCTGGTAGGTCGTGCACATCTCTTCAATTGTAAATGCACGTTCTGCCCAGGTGCCGTGCCAGAGGCTGGCGCAGGGCTTCTGACTGGCTGAAAAGCCAGCTCGGTGCACCCCTGGGGACCCTCTGATGGCCCCCCGCTCAAAGGGAAGCCCGGGTCACGCCCAGGATTCAGTCAGATTAAAAGTAAGATTGAGGACGATTGCGGTGGATTAAGCGGGATTGTGCCGGATTTGGCCTGCTTCCGACCAGCGCCGATGCTGAATATCTAATCTCCCAGGGCTTGCATCCAAATCAGGGGAGGCCGCCAGTGGCCTTTCCTTTACTAAGACGAGGACCGACTCCGATGGTAAAAACAAAAAGTCGGGAATCATTGAGGGACCGCAGATCTGGAAGACCTCTCGGGCGCAGCGGCCGTTCCAGAGCGCTCTCGTCGGGGATGGACAGAACCCCAATTAGTAAAACGTGGTTTAGGGAAAACGACCTCGGGCCCAAAAACCTGGCGGGCGCAAGCCTCGAAAACGACGACCACGGCGCCCTCTCGAGAACCGAAAAAGGACAGTTCACTCATCGACGCTTCAGGGGCGGGGTTCTTTCCAACCCCCGATCTGGAGGGCTCCGAGAAGAGTCCCGAACGCTCTGGAGCGACTCATCCCAACCTGCGCTGCCCCGACGCGCAACGCGCAACGTAGCGTGACTTGACACGGAGCTCAACGCGTGGACTGGACACGCAGGTCTGGTGCGATCTGTTCGCCAAGAGTGGACCCACACCTGCCGAACCCAACACGCAGCGTGTCAACACGGAGGTTCCCGACACGGTACGTGTTGTGCGTTCAGGACGTTCGCCCCAGAGCAGCCAGGATCCCAATCCTGGGCCTGCCCGGTGTACTCAAAGGGGGCTCGCTGGTGGGCCCTCCGCTCGGGAGGGAGCCGCCGACGGCCTCCTCTTCTGGTGGAGCCTTCACCCTGGCGGGAGCTCCTGGGCCACGACGGAGGCGGCGGCAGCGACGGCGACCGTCGAAGGATCGAGGGTCGACGTTCCTGGAACGTGTTGTGGGAAAAAGGAAAGGCGACACCAACACCAGCAGGGCGAGGAGGTGCGAGGAGGCAAGGGGGGTCTCCCTGGTGGTGTGGCCCCCCCTCTCGCTCGAGACATCCCCAGCATCCAGCTCGGGGAGAGGCATCGTGGACCTCCTCGCTGGAGGTGGGCCCCCTGGTGGTGCTGGCATCGCCTTCTCCTCCCTCCGAGTGCTGGCCGCACCGCTGCAGCTGCCCAGGCAACGTGACGCCCGGGGAACCCCTGAGGCGGTGCCCAATTCTCCCGGAGTCTCCGGGCCACGGAGACGTCGACTGCGGAGGAGGAGGAGGAGGAGGAGCGGAGGAGGAGGAGGAGGAGGAGAGGAGATGGAGGAGCAGGAGGAGGAGGAGGAGAAAGGAGGAGGAGAGGAGGAGGAGGAGGGGGAGGGGAAGGAGGAGGAGGGTAGGAGGAGGAGGAAAGAGCAGGAGGAGGAGGGGGAGAAGGAGGAGGAGGACGACCGAGGATCGGGGTTCCAGGCCTGTCAGCGTTCTCGCCTCGAGGGCCTCGAGGTTCCTGGGCCACCTTTTGGGCGCCCTCGTCGCCCCGACCGTGCCCCCACCTGGAAATTTTCTGGCCAGGGCGCACCACTGGAGGGTTCCAGCGCAATGACGATGGAGGATGGTGCTGCTGCTCCTCCTCCTCCTCCTCCTCCTCCCTCCTCCTCCTCCCTCCTCCTCCTCCTCCACCTCCTCCATTTTCTCCTCGTGCGCCTCCTCCTCCCTCGCCGAGAGCCTCCGACCTCCTTTCTAGAAAAGTATGGACAGCTGACAGACAAATAGAGAGAGAGGGGGGGGAATAGAGAGAGAGAGAGGGAGAGATAGGGGGAACGAGAGGGAGACAGAGAGAGAGAGGGGTGAGACCAACAAAAACAACGACAACCAAAAGCAGCGGCAATCTATACAACCAAAAACGGTGGGGAGAGAAGGGGGAGGGTGAGGACAGGTAGGGAAAAAGGGAGAAAGGGGGGAGAACCGAGGGACAGGTAGAGGAGAGGGAGACGGAAGCATGCATCTCCTCATCCATATCCTCCTACTCATGTCCTACTCATCCGCCTCTCCGAGGCCAACGTCGACGACGACGATCTCGACGACGACATCGACGACGACGTGGACAACGACCTCGACGACGAAGACGACGACGACAACAATATCGACACGAACTCGACGACGACGACTCGACGACAACCTCGACGGCGACGACGACCTCGATGACGACGAAGACTATGACGACGACTATGGCGACGACTAAGACGACGACGACACACAACGACGACGACGACGAGGGCGACTTCGACAATGACATCGACGACCACAACAACATCGACACGACCTCTACGACGACGACTCGACGACAACCTGGACGGCGACGACGACCTCGACGACGACGACGACGACCTCACGAAGGAAACCTCGACGACGACCCCGACAAAGTCTGTCGACCACGACGTCGGCGACGGCGGCGGCGGAGCGTCTCGGGGCCTCCCGTCGGGGTCGGCGCCTGGTCCCCGAAGTGCTCGTGGCTGGTGCCGAACTCTTCGTGGAACTCGGGGGCCGCAACCTGGAGCGGCCCGCTCAAGATCGGCCCCCGCACCGCTCCCGGAATCCATCCTGAAGCCTTCCACCCCGGGATTGCGTTCGACGGGCATCAGAGAGCACATCAGACAAGCAAGAAGAAGGGAGCACCTTCATCCTGAAGTCTTCCACCCCAGAAGAAGTGAGGAAACACATCAGGAAGTCAAGAGTACCAGTAGATGGCCGTCGACGCCGAAGTGCTCTGTCGTCGTCGTCGTCGTCGTCGTCGTCGTCGTCGTCACCGTCATCATTGTCGTCGTCGTCGTTTGTCGCCGTCATCGCCCGACCTAAACCCGCTCGCTCGGTCTCCAGGGCGCTGTCGGGTTCCACCTTGGTCCTCCACTCCGGCCGAGTATAGAACAATTCACGAAGACTGAGATTCGCCGTCGATGCTAGTCGTCGTCGAGTTCGTCGCCGTCGGCCGCAAACCTCGGACGCCGTCGATGGCAACCGTCATCGTTTCTGTCGATGCCAATGTTCTTCAATGAAGAAATCGTCTGCAAGGCTGCCATATGCGGCCCGCAAGTGGGGGGGGCAGCGCTCGGTGCCTGGATGCTCCCCCGTATGGTCTCCCGCGCGGTCTCCCGCGTAGTCTCCCGTATGTGAAGGGGCCCTGACACACACACACACACACACACACACACACCCACCCACACACACACACACACACACACACTCACTCACTCACACACACACACACACACACACGCACACCAAAAAAAAATACACACAAATAACAGGATTCCGTATATTTTCCTCTATTTACTGGGTTTTTGCCTTCCCCCCCACTTCCCATATTTTCCCATATTTTCTAGGGAATCGACGATTCATTGTGTCTGTGTGTTTCTTTCCCTCCTGAATATGGTCTCCCGCATGGTCTCCAGTCTGGTTTCCCGCCTGGCCTTCCGCGTGGTGGCCTCCCGATTTAAAGCGCACAGCATACCGCACGGTCTCCCGCAGTGGTCTCCCGCAGTGGTCTCGCGTGTGGCCTCCTGCGTGTGTGGCGTGTGGCATCCCGTGCGGTCGCCCGCAGGGTCTCCCGTGTGGTCTCCGGCACGATCTCCCGTGCCATCTTCCGGCCGGTCTCCCCTGTGGTCTCCCGCATGGCTTTTTTCTCGTGCTGCCCCCTCCTCCAGCGAAGATCCGCCTGGGTGCTCGCTCGCTTCGCCGGCATCCGCGAGGCTCGCTCGCTCCGCAGCGTGCTCCCCCCCTGGCATGGCCCCCCGCACCCACAGCACAAACAGCGATGCTCTCTTCACTCGTAAGTAAGTGATGCTGTTCAGGGTCGTCTGCCGCGCCTGGGTGCCTGTTCAATCCCCGAGGTCCCGACCCTCGCGCGCTGCTTGGCGGCCCAAGGGCTCGACGACGGCCCCCGGAGGCCGACACAACCACGAGAGACCTCCGCCCTCATCTTGCTTGTCGGGGCGCCAGAGGTCCCCCAAACATGCTCTTCTTCGGTGCGCGGCGAGAGGGGTCCCGACGCCTCCCTCGGGGGTACAGTCGGGGCGTTGACCTAAGGAACCCTAAATAAGGAACGAGGCCCCTTTTTCCATACGTTAAACTTCGATTTCCTACCGAAAACATAAGGAAAACCTGAGGCAAGCTGTGAAACATTTAAGGAACGCGGAGCCCCTCCCCAACGAAAAGGGTGCCTTCTTCAGGGCCCCGACTGTAACTCTTGATGGCCCCGGAGCCCGCTGAGGGGCACCAGAGGCCGACAGAGGGGAACAGCCCCCGGCTGAAAGCAGCAGAAGCGAATCGTCGGAGATGTGTGCGGTGTGCGGGGCGTGCCGAAGTGGGCGCGGTGCAATCATACGGGCGCTGCCGCTGGCGCCGTCGGTGGAGCTCCTCATGGGGTTGCGCAACGTGTGACGGGCGTGCCGAGCCGGGCGCGCGGAGAGCAGAGGCATGAGGAGGAGGAGGAGGAGGAGGAGGAGGAGGAGGAGGAGGAGACGAAGGAGGAGGAGGAGGAGGAGGAGGAGGAGGAGGAGGAGGAGGAGGAGGAGGAAGAGGAGAGGAGGAAACGGCGCGCACACTGCAGATCCCAAACGAGGACCCAACTCCACAGGATGGCTGGGAATAAACCCCAAGCGTCGAAAGCCTGAGACCGGGACTGCGAGGCGGGGCTATGCCTACATCCACCGCCTGCCGAGGTCCTCGAATCTCGCTCCCCCAGGCTGCGGTTGAGGATACACTCCCGCCTCGGAGGGACATCACCGTCGTCGCCGTCGTCGTCCTCCTCCGTCCGTCCGGTCGTCCTTCCGTCTGTCTCGCGTTCGTCCTCGTCGTCGTCGTCGTCGTCCTCGTCGTCGTCGTCCTCGTCGCCGCCGCCGCCGCCGCCGCCGCGGCAGCCAGCAGCTCCGCGGGCTCCGGCGGCCGGGCCGCCAGGGCGCCGCCGCGGGGGCCCACGGGGCCGCCGCGCGGCGCCAGCGTGCGGCCCAGCTCCTCGGGGCGGCGAGGGCAGGAGCACCAGGGAGACGACGACGAAGGACGACGACGACGACGACGACGACGACGACAACGAACGACGACGACGACAAATCACGACGACGACGACGACGACAACGAACGACGACGACGACGACGACGACGACGACGACGACGACACGACGACGACGACGACGACGACGACGACGACGACGACGACTGCGACGACAAACAAGGAACGACGACAACGACGACGACGACAAACAACGAACGACGACGACAAACAACGAACACGACGACGACGACGACGACGGCGACGACGACTCTCGACCCTCGCGTGCTCTCCAGGACAGCTCGGCCTCTCGGGCGCTGCTCTCGGGCCGCGGGGGCCGTCGGAGACCGATCCAGCGCGCGAGCCACGGAGCAAGGAGCCACGAGAGGCCAGGAGGTGCGCGGGCCTCGGAGGCCGCAACGGCGTGAACTCTGACCTCGCCGCGGGATCGGCGCCCCGAGGGGAGGGCCGAGGCAGAGAAACGAGGGGAGGGGGGAGGTGAGAACGAGGAGAGGGGGGGTGAAGAGGAGAGGGCGGGGGGAGGCAAAGAGGGAGAAGGCAGGGCGGCGGACCGACGAGGCCGGACGCGGAGATGGGAGAGAGAAGCCCTCGTGCCGCGCCAGGCAAGAACGACCACAGGGCGAAAAACTGTGGCGAGCGTGGGCCCCGAGACGGGCCTGGGGGCTGATTTGGAGCGAGCGGGATTTGGTCGAATGGCGACGGCAGACGACGACGACGAAGACGGACGGCTCGACGGACGAATAGACGGCCGGCCGGGCGACCACGACGGAGACGAACGGAAGGACGGACGGACGGACGGACGGACGGACGGAAAACGACGACGACGACGAGAACGGACGACGGACGACGGACGACGGACAACTGACGACAAACGACGGCGACGACCGCGACGACCGCGACGACGACGACGACGACCGGCCGTGGCTGCGAGCACGCTCTACCAGTTTTGTCAAACAAGAACCGCAACAAAAAAGTCGAAACAAAACCACGGCTTGATCCTGCTGCGGGCGAACCCCCCCCCGGAAGAGAACGCGCCGCGGGATCCCCTTGAGGTGCCCAGCGGCCGCGGCATGCAGGCGCCTCTCGTCGAAGACGCGGGGCGGGGGGCCCCCAGGGAGCTCCGGGGGGGCCCTTGGGGGCCCGGCGGCCGCGATGCGCAGGGTGCAAGAGGCAGGTCCGGAGTGCTTCTTCAATCCAGCAGGCCCAGCCTGTCGGGCGGGAGCGAATTACCCTTGCCAGGGAAGGAGGAGGAGGAGGAAGAGGAGGAGGAGGAGGAGGAGGAGGAGGAGGAGGAGGGGGGAGAGGTGGGAGGAGTGGAGAGTGATGGAGGAGGAGGAGAGGAGATGGAGGAGGAGGAGGAGGAGGAGGAGGAGGAGGAGGAGGAGGGTGAGGATGAGGAGGAGGAGGAGGTGGAGGAGGAGAATCAGAACGGAGGCCTGACACAAACAGGAGGGTTGGGAAAAAGCCCCCCAAAACCTCTAACTCCTCGGGCCTTCCAGGCGACCTGCCTCTCGCGCCGAGGATCCTCCTCGCCGCGGGATCGGCCGCCCCGAGGTGGCGGCGCCCAGACAGAACACCGAACCTCGATCCTAGAAGGGGTAAGATAAGGGCAAAACATCCACACCCATAATAACCACTCGGACAAGCGAGGCCGTTTAGTAAACGCACCCAAAGAAGGAATCGAATAGGCAGGGCTGTCTAGTGAACGCCAATTATCGGGTCCGCGTGGCTTTCCCTCCCTTGAAAAGACGGCATAAACGTAAACTTTCGGCGCTCCGCGCGGATCTCTTGGACCCGCGCTGGGCCCCCCTCCCTCGCGCGCGGAGCGTGCCAGGGCCGGCGCCGAAGGCGCCGCCCAAAGGGCCCAACGCGGATCCAAGAACTCCCCGCGGAGCGCCAGAAGCTGATGTGTATGCCCCTCTTGCCCCTTCTTTTCTGCTGTTGACGTTGCGCCACAAGCTCTTGTGCTTGCACCGTTCTCTTCTTCTTCTTCCGCGAGCCCCGAGCCCCGAGCCTCGGCCCTCGGGCCTCCGGGGCGGCCCCCCCCCCCGCGGAGGAGGTCCTCCGCCCCGCCGGGCAGCTCCCCCACCTCCAGGCCGGAGACCTCGTCCTGTCGGGCGCGGGTCCCCGCCGGGCCGCGCGGGCCCCGCGGATGAGGGGCCGTCGCCCTGCTCGGCGGCGAGCGCGGGAGGGGGGGGGAGAAGCGAGAAAAAGAAGAAGAAGAAGAAGAAGAAGAAAAAGAAGAAGAAGAAGCGAGAAGAAGAAACGAGAAGAAGAAGGCCTGCGCGGGGAAGGCTCGGAAGTCCCCCGGGCCTTCGGAGAAGTTGCCCGAGCCTCCCTCGAAGACAAGCAACAACTTCCCAGAAGGCGAGGGGGCTCCTGAGAAGCCCCAGCGCCTTCTGAGCAGGCCTGCAACTTCTCGCTTCCCCCCCTCGCTCGCCGCCGACCTGCACCCCGAGATCCGACGTAGCGGGACAAAGATACGGCATCGTAAAACTTGTTGCGTCGGCGGCTAGGCAGTGGAACTGCGCCGGCGGAAGAGCAGTGACTGCGGCATTGTAACACACAAGCGCACACACAATCGCAGCCCCAGACTCCGGCTTCCTGCGGCGCTCCTCGCGCCGGATATCGATCCGAGAGGGCCCTGGGGCCCGGAAAGAACTGGGCGGGAACGTCCGGCGTGGAGCATATGTATGTACATATATATATATATATATACACATAAATATGTGTATATATGTACATCTATATATGTATACACATGCATGTATACACGATCCATAATATAAAGAAGAAGAAAAGAAACAACCAAACAACATACCAAAACAAACAAAAAACAAAAAAAACATGCGGCGCCCAGGCCTGGGGCACGCATGTTGAGTGGCCAGGGTGCCGTATAGCCCTGCTCACAGGCGGGTTCCTGCCGCCCGCTGCGCGCCCTCTCGGGCAGGGCCGCCAGGGGGCCGAGCCGCTACCCGTCGGAGGCGTGCCGAGGCCGTCGGAGGGCTCCCCGTCCCAGCCTCGCCCTCGTCCCGCTCGTCCTTCTCCTCGAGCTCTGCCTCCCCGTCGTCCTCCCCGTCGACCTCGTCCTGCTCTCCCCCTCCCCATTCCCGTTCCCTTTCCCCGTCTCCTCCCCCGCCCTCTCGCCGTCGCCTCGTTCCTCCTGACTGCTGTCCTGCCCGCTCAGATTCCTGCCCTTCTTCCCCTTCTCGTCTCCCGGTGGCAGGATGCTTCCGTGGGTGAGCTGGCCCTCTTGCAAGGACGAACATATATTCGACATGGATATCCAATGCATGCATATATGTCATAGCACGTTCGGTTCTAGATGAGCCTCCGAGTGTTGATGCATACGAGCGGCTGGAATTAAGTGAGGCTGAGCGGGACTGGGTCAGAACGAAAGAGGCTGCGGACGAGTGACTCCGAGTATGAGCGAGTCTGGGAATCAGTGTTTTGACCGTAAATGAGGCTGGGTGTGAGTGAGTCTGCGTGTCAGCGGATCTGAGCATACGCGGTTGATCGTGGATGTATCAGTGTGAGTGGATATGGGTAGGAAAGAACTTTGCGTAATGGTAAACATGAGTATGAGACATGAGTGTGAATGCGTCTATGTATGACTGCCTGGGTGGGACTGGATCTGAGCGCGCGTGGGTCTGAATGTGTGTGTGGATATGATCAAGCATGGCTAAACTGAGTAGGTCAGAGTACGAGGATTAAAACTTGACCTTTCACTTGGCATGAGCGAAAGGATTCATCGGGGTTTCTCTGGCTTGTTTGGCCGTCATGGCGCCTCTTTGAGCGTCCAGGGGCGGGCCCTCTTGTCCTAAGCCTCGGTGCCTCCTGGGACTATCTAAGATGTCCGACGGCTTCCTGGAACTTCCAAATGCAATGCACCCGGAAGACCCCACGTGAGAAGCCCCTGGTGTCGTCAGAGGTCGCCGAGCCGCAGAGCGCCTCGGCGGTCGGCCCCGCGCGCATCAGTCTGGCTTGCCGCAGCCCTGGCCCGAAGATGCGGGCAAGGCGGGCCGCTCGGCGAAGGGCCGCCAACTCGCGGGCCACCTGCGTCGTGATGCGGCGACGGCCGCCAGCAGTGGCATCGCCTCCCAGGTCGCAGTGGCCCGACGCGAAAGCAGCAGCAGGAAGGGGCCACCTCTCCTGGGCCATCGAGTCCCTTTGCAGCGAGACCGACGAAGCCAGGACCTTGGTCTTGCCACAGTCAGCGGGCAAGCGCTTGTCCTCCAGCATCTGAACGACCGCGTTCACAAACTGGTAGATCTGCCGCACTGGTCAGATTCTGCTCGAGCCTATGCCGTGACCCGCCACATCTTCGATCACGTTGACCACTCTACCACTCGAGAGTCGCAGCGCAAGAACAGCCAGCTATCGCCGAGCCAACAGCATGGATCTCCTCGCTCACCGCGCCTTCAACGGTGGCTCTCCGCGGGCCCACATAGGCGACGCAGAAGGCCCGCGCCAGGCCAACGCTGAAGTCGTTCGCCTCGGCCGCTTCCTTCAGCAGTTCGTGGTCGATCCACTCATAGAACTTGCTGATGTCGAAGTAGGCCGAGGCCCCGTCAAAGCCCTTCGCACGGGCCAGATCGCAGCTGGCGTCCGAGCTGGAGCCCCAAATCTCAGGAATCTGATGCTCTTTCCCCCAGGCAGCGCAGTACTTCCTGCGGATACGCCCCCAAAGTCGCAACCAGAAAGGCATCGGCCCAGTCGGGCGTCTGCCGCCGCCGGGCTTGCCGAGGAAGACGATCAGGGCGGCGAAGAGCCCCGCCGGCTTGGGGTCGCGCCCCCAAGCCGCGAGGACCTCGGCCACTCGCTCCGCAAAGGGTCGGCCCAGCAGCAGCGGCAGCAGCAGGCGGGGGCGGATGGCGCCCCAGCACAACGCCGCCCGCTCGGGGATGGTCTTGACAGCGGCCAGCACCTCATCCGCCGTGGTCCCAGGCAGCTCCATGACGGCCTTCCACTCAGCGGGCGGGATGGGCGCCCTGGCGCCGCCGCCTCCAGCGGGCTCGCTGGCTCCACGCCTGCCCTCCCAGAGCCGCCGCCACTCCCGCAGAGTCTGTTCCAGCGCAGCCTGCCCGACCAGTGGCGCCGGCGGGTGCTCAGGCCCACCGCCCGATATCACCGCGCTCGCCTCAGCAGCAGGCGGCTTGCTGACCGCGTGCGCGCCGCGCCCGCCAGCCGTCAGAGCGCCGCCCACGAAATCGCGCCAGCGCGCGCGAGTGGCCCGGGCACCAGCCCGAGCTCGGTGAGCAGCGGCCGCCTCCATGTCCCCGAAGAAGAAGCTGCCTGAACTCAAGGGCGCGCGCACTTCCTCTTGCAGCAGCCGCATCTTCGACTCGGTGAGCATCTTGCAGCCATGCTGGACGAAGCTCGGCACCAGCGAGACAGCAGCTGCTTCCAGGTGGCGCATGTTGGCCACGTGCTCATGACCTGGCGCCTCCAGCATTGCCGCTGCTGCCAGCTGGCGCGCCAAGCGCCCCGGGGAAATCCAGCGCCGCGCCGGCGGGCTCACCTACTGAGTCGTCTCGGTGCGCTGCAAGTCTTTCAAGGCCTTCTTGACTCGGCGAACCCCGCGAGCGTGCCCGCGATACTGGGAGCTGGCGCCACCTCCACCGCAGAGTCGGGCAGGCAGTGCTCGTCCAGCAGCGGAGCCGCCCAGCTGATGGCCTCAGCCGCCCGCTGCGCCTCAGCCCGCGCCCTGGGAGCGACCTCCGACCCAAGATCGAAATGCCGAGGCGACTGCAGCACCCAAACCTCCGCCATGGCTCCGAAGCGGGCGAAGGAAAGGCGCACAGGCACATGGGGGCGCAGCGTGGCGAGCCGAATCGCCTCGACCTTCGGCTCCAGAGCCGCCAAAGCCGCCGACGCCACGGAGAAGTCGTGCTTCCTGGCTTGGCACGCGGGCAGCTCGGGCTCAAGGATCGCGCCTCCAACAGCGCGCGGCCACCAAGATCCAGGAAGCTCCTGTGGCTCCGAATTCCAGCAGCCGCCGACTATGAACGGCACCCGCAGTCTGCTGAGGAACTCCTGCAAGCACCCGAGCAGCTCCAGGTTCAACCCTGGCAAGCGGGTCGAGTGCCCAAGGTAGACGCTGACCGCGACCACAACCAACCCGCCGAAGGCAACCCTGCGAGCCACGACCCTGGAAGCGAACTCGCCCCAGTCGTTCTCAATGTTCGCCACCCCGCGAAAGCTGGCCGTCACAATGGCCACGCCCGACGACACCTCCTGCGCTTTCGCTGCAGCGCGGGTGCATGGGCTGAAGGCAGCCTGGAGGCCGTTGCGTCGGCACCAGCCTCGAGCAGACTCCGAGGCGCTCTCCGAGACGAACCTGGCCCCCTGCACCAGGACCAGGTCGTTCGAGCAGCCAGCCTCCAGAAGCTGCACCAGCGCGGTCTGCGCCTGAGCCGAGGACGAGCCGCTCAGCGCGAAGACGCTGGCGGCGGCGCCCAGCTAAGGCGGGATCAGGTCCGCCAAGGCGAGCCGCCGCGCTGCCTTGCTAAAGGATCCGCCTGCCCGCCGCATCGCCCGCAGCCGAGCTGGAGACAGTAAGCAGCGGGCCCAGGTCCGCAGCCTCTGCCGCAAGCGCGCTGACCAGCCCTGGCGCGACCTTGGTCCAGGCACCTGCTGCAGCGCCGCGCCGAGCCGCCTGGCCGCGCTCCTCAGCCGTCTGCGGCCCCGGCAAATCGACGTCCGAGTCCGAGTCCGAGTCGACCGCGCCGCCGTCGAGGGGGGCAGCTGTCCACCCAGCGCTCGCGCGCCTGCGGCTGCGCCTTGCTCTCCTCCTAGAGGATCATGGCCTCCACCGCCGCCATATGCTGCATCGTACTCTCCACGCGCGAGCACATTTGCCAGCCGTGTGCGCCGTCGGCAGTGTGTGCGGAGCTGCACGAAGAGCCCCCGCGTGTCCGCGAGGTCGCTCTCCGACACCGAGCCCTCCTGGCCGTCGCGTGAGTGCGCCGCCGCTGCCTCCAAGGAGTCGACCCGCTCCTTCGCCGCCAGCTGCTGCTCCTCGGCGTGCACCAGCTTCCCCTGGGCGGCCTGCAGCTCGGCCTCGGCGTCCGCGACGGCCTGGGCAGCGTCGGCAAGGGCTCGGCG